CTGGAACTCCTGTGCACTCTTTGAGGGAACATAAAATGGTGCAGCCACTATGGAAGTTCCTCAAAATATTAAATTCAGAATTACCATATAACCCAGCAATTCCACTTCTGAGAATATACTGAAAAGGACTGAAAGTAGGGTCTCGAAGAGCTATTTGTATACCCATGTTCACAGCAGCATTATTCACAATGGGTAAAAGGTGGAAGCAACCCAAGTGTGCATGGATAAACAGATAACCAAAATGTAGCGTATTTATGGGACGGAATATTACTTAGCCTTAAACAGGAAATTCTTACCCATGCTACAACATGGATGAACTCTGAGAACATTATGCTAGGTGAAATAAGCCATTCACAAAAAGACAAATCTTCATGATTTCATGTATATGAGGTCCCTGGAGTAGTTAAACTCACAGCAAATAGAAATGGTGGTTGTCAGGGGCTGGGGGAAGGGAGCAGTTATTTCTTAATGGGTATAGAGCTCTAGTTTTGCAAGATGAAGACAGTTTTGGAGACTGGTTGCACAACAATGTGAATGTACTTAACACTACTGAACTGTACACTTAAAATGGTTAAGATGGTAAATTTTACGTTATGTGTATTTTACCACAATAATAAACAAATTAAAAACCAAGTCAGCAAACTGAACAATGTGGCAGTCAGGAGCGGGAGACTAAATGTAAAGTTCCTCTCTAGAAAACAGAATGTTTTCTAAAAGTTCTGTTTGTTTCTTTTACAATCATGCTTTCTGGTGGATAACATCGTTTTGTTACTGTTCTCACTTTTTAAAAATTACTGTAAAATGATTTTGTAGTTATTTTAAACATACTTATATTACGGTCTAACACTTCCATTCTTTAGCATCTATAGATACGGACATAGGGTGCCCCCAACAAAAGAGCTGGCTCCTTCCTATCTGATCACCCAACACTGAAGCCCACCAAAGGACTTGCACTACTCAGGTATGAACATTTTTCAGTCAGCTTTTAGTATCTTACTTGGACATGTAAGCAGAAAGCTAATCACCTCGACAGTAGAAATCAAACAGAACACACAGTAAAAGAACCATAAACAGAGGTGATGCAGAGTAAAAACTTCAAAAATACTATGACTAATACGTCCAGTGATAAGAACAAATTCTTTGTCCTGGGAGATTTTAAGACAGTCAAAAGATAAGGTAGTGTTTATAATATTAATATACATGGTAAGAGAAAGGTAGGGGATCAAATGGAAGAAGTCTCCCAAAAAGGAAAGAAAATACCATGAGAAGGGAAACAGGAGACAAAAGAGAAAAATAGAGGGAAGAAATCTGTTAAATAAATGAGAAAATTTTCCAGATATTAAGGACTTGAGTTTCTAGCCTAAGTGCCCAAGGAATGCATAGGGCTCTATTAAACAATTAAAAATGTCTTCAAAATTCTGAGACAATCTCTAATCTAGAATTACAAACCCAACCAAATTATATGTAAAGAGAGCGATGGTACAAAAAACATATTTCCAAGAAATGACATAAAATTGTTTTCTTCCCATGTAGTCTGTTCTTAGGAAACTTGTTTTTGGAAGGATGGATGGGCTCCACCACTACCAGTAACAAAATAGCAAATAGTGCCTGAGTGCTTACAGCGTGCACATGCCCTTTATATACATTTGCTCACTTAATTTTTTAAATGGTCCTATGAGGTGGGTAAGGTTATTTTTCCCATACTTCAGATTGGAAATTCAGGCACAAAGAGGTTAATTGAAGCAACCTGCCCAGCATCACATATCCAGTTGACAGTCAGGATTTGGACCCAGGCAGGTGGCTCCAGAGCCCAATGCTCTTAGTCACTAAGATACTGTGCTTACCAAGGGAGAAAACCTCCAAAGAGGAATATGTGGGATGGAGACACAACAAAAAGGGGAAGGAAATTTCCAGAAAAATGATAAAGGGAAGTCCCCAAATCACAACTGAACCAACAAAACTGACAAACTATCAGGGTGTCTTGAACACATCCAGAAAAGACTTTCCAGTTCTCTGAAAGTTTGAATGAAAAAATGATCTATCAGTACAGAGAAAAACTAAGCAAACAAGCAAACAAAATACAAATCATTTATTAACTTCAGTGAAAACAGAAAGCTGTACAGCAAAGAAAGCACAATCATAGTTCTGTCTGTTTCACTGGTGAATAATAGTAAGTGATAAATCATACAGTAATACAACCAAAGAAAAGAGACATATAAGCACTGGAAGGATGGGAGGAGGTGAAAAGTGTGTCAGCTAAATGCACAGCAGAATTTCTGATAAACAACAACAAAATGGTATCAGCATTTTACTTAGAAATATGGAGACTAAAAGCAAATATTTTAAGTTTTTGTCACTCTACATTCCATTCCGGGATCTCCCAACCTACTAAATGATTTTTTAAAATCTGCGGACATTATGGTTCACCCTTTGTGCCTCATGGCTTTTGACAAATGCATCAACCCATTAATTCCTAGACCCTCTCCTAACGCAAGCATTTGAGAGCTATATGTAAACCAATGAGCCCGGCTATATTCCAATGAAACTTATGTATAGAAACTGAAATGTCTGTTACACACAATTTTCATATGTTACGAAATAGTCTTTGATTTGTAAAAAAAAATTTTGGTAACCATTTAATAATCTTCTTAGCTCTTGGGCCATACAAAAACAGGTGGCAGGCTGGATTTGGCCCATGAGCTGTAGTTTGCCAATTCCTGTCCTTAAGCAACAAGACCAGTGGAGACACAGTCCAGAAGCTGCAGATGGGAGATTACCCTCAATGAGGTTCCAAACAGCCCATACTACCCACAAAAGAAAGATTTAGCACATGGACAACTGTTTCACCCAGATAGCCGGCTAACCAGTAAGGGCCTCTGAAGACGGTTTCGACCCTTATCTTTACTTTCTTCCTTACCTCAATCTTGAAGAGCAGAGACAGCTACATGTGGGGGGGAGGGAAGGAGAGGGGAATCCAAGTGCACACACGGGAAAAACCAGCTCACTCCTTTTCCCTATCACAAGTTTCTGGGCCTGAATCTAGCCCAATCTGGGAACGGGGTGGAGCGGGACAATTCGTTGACTCACAGAACTTAAACTAGATTAGGTCTGACTTTACAATACCTGAGGCTAACTGGAAAGCATTTGAATCTGCCCAGATTCACCTAGGTGTGGGGACGAACAACTAGCAAATAATGTTTAAAGCCAGCAGTAAGAAAGAACAAAGTTGCTCTCTCCATATTCAAACTACTAAACGCTCTCTCATACAATAAAGCAGTTATATAACCAAAGGACCTTAATTCAGAATTCGTAAAGAACGCTTAAAAATCAATAGATTCCCCACAACCCCCCAAAGAAAAAGGAAACAGGAAAACATACAAAGGATAGGTACTTTTCAAAAACACCAAAAAGTCAAAAAGAGTGAAACACGAAAAACTTTCCATTTCACAAGCAGCCAAGTAAGCCCAGATACCATTTCACACTCACCAGGAATAAAGTCCGACAATGCCAGGTGCTGCTAAGAAACTGGCTAAATGAATGAAAGAAGGGGCAGGGCGATGCACCATTTCAAAAGTAATGGTTGTGATCACGCGGAAATCAATGTAAAGACGCTGGAGTCGCCATCCTTCGGCAAGACTCAACATCCTCCAAGAGGAGGTCCAGTTTTTCGTAACCACCACCACCACCACCACCAACTTTTTTTCGATAATGAGGTAGTAAAGACACGCCCACATTTTAAAATGTGAAATTTTAATTCATATTGTGTGACCCCTCCCTACGATATAAGATTAAGAGATTCAATAAACGCTAAAGAATTTTCAAGAACCCAAAGCAGACGCGACGAAGGGGCTAGAGGAGAGCTCCATGACCTAGGGATTCGGCCCGAAGGCTTAACTCGAGGGAAGCGGCAGGAATTTAAACGAGTCAGAAAACACTCGTTGCTGCGCGCTGCACCCTGTGCAGCTGCCAGGAGGTCAAGGCCGCCGGT